TCTATAGCCTTTTGAAAGTTATTTAAAGAACGTAACTTAGGTAAGATGAGATGTAGGGGTACATAGAATTAATAACCCCGCATAGAATTAATAACCTACAATAAACCCAATTTTAACGGTATCCCATATATCATGCTTCCGGTGGTTGCCTTAATTCTATTATTCACTGTATATGTCCATAATATTGTAATAAGTCAAAATTACCCTATGACAGTATGTACGTATGTGTTTATAATACGATAAATGATATATCTGATATTCTAATTTGTTAATCTCTTACTGGACGCGTATGTATAATTTTTACTTTTTAGCATTGATCTATTTAAGAATGATTCTTTTTTATCAAAACGAAATATATAAATTTAATATAAAATAAAATCCAAAATGCCAATATGAAAAACTTTTGATATAAAAAAAAAATTCGAATTGGAAAATAAAGTATAATCTTACTCTTATTTGCAAAGTTAGGGCAACTCCTGGTTACATTACTGCGTATACCACTAACTATTTTTAACTTTTTATGCACAGGTCGGTAAAGAATATTTATTGTACGGAGTAGATTTGCACATTTACTATCTACATGAATTAATTTATAGTAAAAATGATTATTCAACGTCTGCTATTAATAGTGATCATAGTAGGATAAATAATGACCTAAACCAAAAATTTCACATTTACCAACTTCTGATTTAACATTGAATGATCTTTTCACGAAGATTGTCTAAAAATGGCTGATTATTTTCAAACAATATTGGACATCGTAAAAAGTAACAGTAGCATCTGCAACGCTATAAATAAGGTTACTAGAACTTTCTTACAAAAGAGAGAATACAGAACTCATCGTGCCTAATTCAAAAAGTGAAACCAAACTTGCACTAAAGACGCAAATATTTTATTACTTCTTGGATAACTAATTAACGATCATAATAATTCCAAAAATTCAAACTCTACTGAGTATTTAGGTCCGCAGTCTTGTACGGTGTTGCATTCGTCACATCTGGCGTTACAAGTCATTCTTACTAACACGGCGAATGAAGCAGTTCTTCAGACAATTGTTAAACTATATTCGTCAAATCATTGCGTTCCAGAACTTTGTACAGCAGAAAGAAAAGGATCAGGGCAATTTGGTTACCTTGACATTTTGTTTAAGAGGAGTTGGTAATTTTATTAGTTTAGAATTAAAATACGTCTCTTTAGTTTACCCAATAAGCGAAAGTATCAGAAAAACGAACTAGATGGATGGGCAAAGACATTGAAAAACTTACTAATAATTAATCCATAAAACTGCAAGTATCTGGAACTACCTTGTACGTATATTATGTATTGCTTTTCCAGAATAATTACTATAGAATAAGCACAAGCGTAAAGTTGTCATCATTGCTCAAAAATCAAGATAACACCAACAAGAGCAGACAACTACACAGCTGCACTATGTAATTTTAAACTTAAAAATGTAGCTGCTTTATGAATATTGGGTGAACAATAGTTGAGGTGGATAAAAGCTTTTTATAGATAACTTAAGTTGTATATGTAATAAACTTAAACAAATTTCATAATCTACAAGTCCCTACCTATGTTTAATCAATTGACAAGATGAATAATACCTTAAATAAATTGCATACTATTTTACAAATATTAAAAAATTCATCGCTACACTAATCATACTACATTTCTTGTTTAAGCGTGACACGTCACGCATCTACCCTAATGTTTATAAAACTTTATCAATTCAAATGTTTTTTATTAGTTCCGATTAACAATGATTGATAAAACTATCTTTGCAATGGCAAAATATTGATAAATTACTAATAAATTGCAAAAAACAGAGATAAATTACAGTAATTTACCCTCAAAATTTAATTTTAGCAAGCCTGGATAAAGTGATTTCATCAATGGTTTCAAATGACGAACGGTTAGAAATTGATGAAATAATTGATTAAATGATTATAATTATAAAATAAAAATAAATTAGATTATATTAGCCTAGTCAAAATTCCATTGAAATTTTTTAAAAAAAACATTTTATTTGTTATTTTTATAAACTTCCAATCGTATCAGTGGACCTGCACAGTATAATAAGCTAAAGATTCCACCGTTCAAAATTGTCAATGATCTGATAGATAAATTGTTCCTTTATTTATTAGACTGTGCAGATTTTTTTTTACTACGTCTATTCTCACTTTCCCGAAGTCCATTTTTCTGAAATACCATTTCACCAAAGTCGTAATATCGACAATCCATTTTACTGTTGGGGCAGAAATATGTCTGTGTCATTTCACCGGATATCAATTAACCGACAAGTTTATTTCATTGACAGTTTATTTAACCGGCAGTCATTTCACCGACAAAGTAATTCCGGCCATTGTCGTTAGAGTCAGATTTAGAATTAGAGTTAAGGTTTTAAAAAAACCTGTCGGTGAAATAAGCTGTCAGTGAAATAATTGTTAGATAAACTTATCGGTTATTTGATTTTCGGCGAAATTACACAGACCTATTTCTGTCCTTCTAGTAAAATGGGATTTTCGGTATTACGACTTCGGTGAAATGGTGTTTCAGAAAAATGGATTTCGGGAAGTTAAACCGAAACTTTTACTACAGATAAATTGAAACTACTGATTATTAAAAATTATAATAAAAGACAAGGTCTAAAACTAAATCAACTTGATACAACTTGAGTTGATTCGAGTTACGATTATTCTAAGAATTTATAATACAACTTCGTATATGCATGTTTATGTAGTTTTATGCAAAAATAATTAAATAAAGCTACACAATTCTCTACTTTTGTCTACAAATATATTACTTTTTAATATTTAAATATTTGTAAATGATGAATTACTCTGATCACTAAATACAAAAAAAAAATTGTTTACTCATAACTTTGTTAGTGATAAAATTTTATTGTTAAGCTTTAAAATTATTAGTCGTGAGACCGATTCTAGAACCAACCGACTAATAAATACTATAAAATCGGTTTCAATGGGACCGGAACCTACCAGGACTGATTGATCCATCCTATTTTGATAATTAATAACTCAAATTTTGAGATATCTTTCCTTACTGCTATTCTATTGCATCTAACTGCATCAAATCTATCTTATGAATTCTTATCAAATCTAAAGATTTAAAATAGTTGGGAGCTAGGGGTTGTGAAAAAGAAATTCATTTAATTAAAGAATTATTTTGGAATTCATATTATTGCACAGCATTTAGTGTAGCATAATCTTTTAGGTGTTATTACATCCTTTATGTTTAGCAATTACACACGACTGCACATGATAAGGGGAACAGCAGGGTCCTCAGAATTATTCAGATCATGATTATTCCAGATAACAAAATAAACATGAAAAATACGGAGAATATCAGTATATGCCTATCTTGAAACGATATCGGAAATGCTATTTTACACGTTATAATAATCCTAAATCTAATAAAAATGCACTAATATTAATAAATAATTCTGGTCAATATCCGAAGTTGGACAGCTGTTTTGTACAACGTGGCCGTCTATTTGAATACAGTACTGCATATAAAATACAGCATCCCGGTGCTGTTATGTGTACCAAAAATGTCCCAAATAAACATAAATGGGCGTTATTTGCGTTACTTATGGATTGGTAAATCATGTTGAGTAGTTTCGACAGCAAATCATTTTGCTTTATTACGAATCAAATCTTTTAAGTTGAAATTTTAGAGTTAGGTAATGATAACTAAAAAATTTCTAATGTCTTTGGAGAAAAGGAATCCTCACTTGGTGAACCTAAACAAGTCTATTTTATGTTCAAATTCTGAGTACAACTATTCTAGACTCGTTTGAAAAATTTTGCAAAAGTCGCTCATTGTTTTGATTTCAAAATCCAAATTTAATACAATTGATACCCTTTTTGAATGAATAATAACAATTAAAAGGTCTATAAAGTTATAGTTTGAATAAACTTTCTGATTAAGCGGGAATTGTAACGTTAAGATATAAATAGAATTTCGGTTAAGAATGTTTTAAGTGACTCCCTTAATAAAATTTGCTAGTGATATAAATATTGTTGTTCTATCACTCGATTAATTGAAGTAATCCTTATAACAATTTCGCTGAAAATTCATTGTTCGAAATGCTGCTCTTTGATTTCAGCCAAAGTAAATCAATACAAAGGAAGTAGAGATACGAGAAAAGTAAATTTATATATATACGTACTCTAATATGCAATTTGTCCAACCCAAAAACCCGGATCCCAAATTTTTATTGTAAAATTGTGGTACCAAATTTTGTGTGCCGTATATTACATCCAAATATTGGATTATTGGTTGGATTAAATAATTTTATTTTTGAATATTTCAACTTATACAGTAAACCTTCTATAAGTGACCAAACTTTATCAATGTGTACTTAGAAAACAACAGTACATTTATGGAAATAATATGCTTTGAGTGTGCATATATGGAAGTTTCATTGCAGTGTAAATATTCTCTACTTGGAAAGCTTTGAAATTTCAATATATTAACGTATTCAAATTACTTGCTCAATCAGTTAATGTACTTTAATTCTTATCTTAGATATTGTGCATACCCACCAAAATTATCAAATCATATGATATTTTCATGTAACTTCCATAGATGTAATTTAATACCATATCATTTTTGACGACATCTTCATGAAGTTTTGAAAATGCCAAATAATGTATACTTAACACTCGGCCGAATTTAAAATTGGTAATGATGATGCGTAAACCTGAATTATTCACAATTGGAAACCAAAGAAAAAAAGGCAAACCATTCCTTATTTCAATTATAACCTTTAATTAATGAATAGGATGATTTATATCTTGACTCTATCCTTAATTTCTTTATATAAGTGGCCTTCTAAATTTCTTCAGCTTTACACGAATTGTTTCATTCATAATATAAACTAAATTTCGCCTACAGTCAAAAAATTTAAAATTTATTTATCCACGATTAATTTCAAAATTTATTTATCCATAATTAATTTCAAATTTTATATATAAATCATGAAATTCAATTACGTTGCCGTATTTTCGACCCTTCTCATTGCCAGTACGTTGGCAGTTCCAACTCCAATTTCACAAGGTATTAATTTTTATATCAATATTTGATTATACTTATTATTTTCTCATAAATTGCTTATTTTTTATGTTGAATATTTTATTTATTCATTAATTTTCTATTCAAGATATCGTTAAAGGTGTGAAAAAGGCGAAGGCGGATTCTGTTACTTTTGAAGATAAGAAAAGGGAAACTGTTGAAAATGTTGAAGATAGAGCAAGAACTTCTATTCACAATCTGAGAAAAGCTTCTGTTGTCAAGAAAAGAGAGATTAAAGATAAAAAAAGAGAAGCTGTTGAAAATGTTGAAGATAAAGCAAGAGCTTCTAGTAACGCTTCGAAAAAAGCTTCTGTTGTTAAGGAAAGAGAGATTAAAGATACAAAAAGAGAGGCTGTAGAAAATGTTGAAGATAGAGCGAGAACTTCTATTAACGGTTTGAAAAAAGATTCTGGTGTTAAGGAAAGAGAGATTAAAGATACAAAAAGAGAAGCTGTTGAAAATGTTGAAGATAAAGCAAGAATTTCCCTTAATAAATTGAGAAAAACTTCTGCTGCTAAGGAAAAGGATAGTAAAGATAAGAAAAGAGAAGCTGTTGAAAATGTTGAAGATAAAGCAAGAACTTCCATTAATGATTTGAAAAAGGCTTCTGTTGTTACGGAAAGAGAGATTAAAGATACAAAAAGGGAAGCTGTTGAAAATGTTGAAGATAAAGCAAGAATTTCTATTAACAGGGCGGGAAGGGGACAATAGAGAATAAGAAAAGAGAAACTGTTGAAGCTGTTGTAGACAAGGACTTCTATTAACGATTTGAGAATAGGAAGATGATGTCAAAATCTTTATTGTATTATTAGTCTGATAAATGTTATAAGTTATTTGTTACATTTATATAATAAATTACTCATGTACCTGTATCAGCTCAAAAAATCATTATATATTCTATTAGGATTTACATTGAATAAAGTTAGTTTTACGAATCAGTAAAATTTTTTCAATCGATTAGTTGGTTAATTATTTTTTCAGTTGGTTGCAACTAAAGATGTGATGCGTACAGTAAGGTACGCAAAAATTTTTTAGAATTCTAGAACAAAACATGAAAGTATTCCTATCTCAAATATTTGACTATGAAACTGTCTTTGCACTCTAACAAAAATTGTTCCTTGTAAATGCTACATATAACTGTTTAATAAATGCAACGTGTATTATGTATATTACGTATGTTATACACACTATGCAACTATACGTACTGTACGTACTGCGGTGAAAAAAATTCAGGTATCATATGAATGACACATCACTAGTTGCAACTAATTCATTAAGTAAATAAATAATTTATAAATCAATTCATTTGCAAAAATCGATTAATTCTTTAGTCAACTATTATATTAGTCGATTAATCGATTAATCGACTAGTTGGTGCCTAAAAAGTTCAATCGATTAGTTGTCAACTTTTTTCAGTAATTATGATTGTTTGCCTATAAGCTATCCAAATTAAAGACACTTACTTACTTATATAATATTTCAACCTGAATCCATTTATTATGCTTGTTTAATAAGCTAACATAAAAGCTGCTTAGTAATAGGTGCATTAATCGAATTTTATGAGTAAATTAGTCAAAATTATAAATTGCTAATGAAATAAATAATCTTGTAATACAATCGTGTTTTTTTTATAATTGTTCTGATTTCTCAGATCAACAATAAGGTAGCTTCGCGACTCTGTCATGCAAAATCAGGAACGTAAATTTATGAATAAACTAGAGATTTATATAGTGCAGCAGCTTTTCTAGACTGTCCTAATAATTTATTAGAAATAACAGACCGATGGTACTAGTGCCATTTTACTTATTCATTAAGAATAAAAATTGATGCCGTAAATTCTCAAATAACGCCCAGGGGTGAAATTATGAAATTTGGCCTAAATTAAGCTTAATTTGAGCCAAAACTAAAAATAACGCCTATGGTCGCTATTTTGAGAATTTATAGTAAATTTTAAAATAGCAAAATTTATTAATTAAATGGCTTTTATATTTACTGACTAAATTGAAATGAAATAAGAAATATTGTGCGATAGCAAATATTAATAATAAAAAGTTAAACATTGCATAGATTTTACATATAAATAATAGCAAGTTTTGATCAACCCTGAAACTTGCTTGTAAGATGAATTAAAAATTTTGTAGTATAGAAATAAAAACATTATGATTGTTTTAAACTATTAAGTTTTTCATGCAATAAAATTTCCTTCTTTAGAATTTCTAAGTTTTTTTGCCGTAATTTAAGTTTTTTGTTTTCCTATTTGATATAATTGTCTTGTTCTTGTGACGTAGAAACCATGGTTAAAGTTGATGCAGAAGATAAAGACAAATCTTCATGTTTTTCATTTGATGATTAGTTTTTACATTTTTTTTGTGATAAGGATCTTAAGACAGGTTCTTTATCTTTATTTTTTCATTTTTCTAAATAGCATATCAACCGTTAAATTGAATTATAAAATTATTAAAAAAAATTACACTTACGGGTTCTTTTTAAATTATTTGTCAATTGGACCAATTCAGATTTATTTCTATATGATTCATACACGTTATACTTTTCATACGTTTTTGCTGAATTCCATTGACGTTGATCGAAATCGTATCCCCTATAAAATTAAAAAAAATTTTTAAATTATATATCAGATTAATATCAATTTATATATTGCATTAATGAAAATATACAATAGAAGTTGTGCTATGCTATGGCTCTAACTTTATTTGCCCTATTATTTAATTTCATATTTTACAGAATTGGCTAAACTATTTATATTTATATATACACACTTTGACTAAGCTATTTGCTAAGATTACATGATAAAAAGAAGAGAATTGGGTATGTGCATATTATACTATGATAGTTCTTTTCTCTTTTTTTCTTTTTTTTCACTAATATATATGAGTATCAGAGAGTAGGTTACCAAGTGAACTATCCATATCAATAAGGAAGTTCCCAACTACTTCTTTCCTTTTTATGATCCTTCTATAGTTTTAATTCCTAAATAATCTTTCCTCCAAATATATCAATCCATATCACAATACATGAGTATCATGAAGTATGTTGCTGAGCAAAAATATCTACAAGTTAGCAAGCATGTTTTCAAGCACCTTACTTTTAATTTTTTTTTTCTAGGAAGCAAGAATACTAGAAAAAACCAGACTAAAGTTAGACAACAAAAAAAAGCACTATCAATTTTCAATCTTTCTTATTAATCATATATCGTATCAATTCCTTTCTTATTTTCTATCTAACCATGAATAGCAACAAGGATTTGTAATTTTGCTTAAAATATATACCGGGATATTGCTGCTAATAAAGATGAAGATCAAACATCATGATTTATATTTGCATATGCCAATTCACTAACATTAGTATGATTTGGTGTTTGATTCCAAATATCAGCATTTATTTGAGTAAATGCAGATGAAAGTTCAGCCAATATCCACAGTTTATATTTATCATTAACCCACTCTATTTTTAAATTTAAATCAGTATATACTATATAGAATTTGCTTTAGAAAAATGATATAATCATTAAAAAAAACCTGCTACTTCTGGTTCATCAGATTTCTTGATTTTTTCTAATATGTTCAATATTTCCTCTTGTGTATTTAATTTAGTAATAGAATACATTAATTCTTTTGTTTATTAGAAATAGCCTTATTCTGAATATTGCTATATATAATAAATATAGTATTAATTTAATAAATATATAAAATAAACTTTAATTATAAATTACTTGCTGATTGAAATGAACTTGGCATAATTTATAAATATGTTTAAGTGTTCTTCGCATGATAAATAACTATACTTTGAATGCAAATATTGCCTGAGATCTATTTAAATAAAAAAAATAAAAAATATAACATGTATATCAATATTCGGCAATTATTTTTCACTATACGGACTGTGTGCAGCACACAGAAACAAAATTTTGTACTTGAACAAATATACAGATACCGCACAGACAAAATTAATATTTTGTGAGTAGTGCAATTTGCAGAATTGTGCAGTATTTGCACAATAAATTTCAACTAAAAATTAATACTATATTTACCAAGTGCTTGCCTTTGATATTCATTTGCAATTATACAGCCTAATCCATGACTATTAATGTGCTAAAATTCAAATAGCTTGTGCGTATCATTTTCAAGGTATCAAACAAATCTTTGAATAAATATTGATACACTTTAGCTAATTGAAAATTTGTATAAACTCATACAAAAACCAGCGCTATGAAAACATATATACATATAATTAAAATGTATACTATATTACTTATTAATTTAATACGTAATAATAGCAATTTTACCTTTTTGATAATGATGAATATATGTACAAATTTCTCACTCATTTGCCGCACCATAAATTCTTTTGAATGCCATATCGATCTCAACATATAATAATTGAGAAAGCAATTCTGTTTGTTTCTTTTGAGTACATAAAACAAGATATTGACCACTATCAAGAAACTCTAAATTAAACAATTTGATTTTTTTTTTTTTTTTTTTAACGTCTACCCTCTTGGGAGCTAGGATTTTTATTCAAGTATATATAGCACAGGGTTCTCTAGGG